GAAAAGAGTCGTTGTAGAGAAGAGATAGCAAAAGTGAGTATTGGAGATGTTTGATCATAGACGTTGAAATGTTAATTGATATGATTAATTCGGTTGAAATTACATTTCAATTCCCTTTGGTTTAAGAGGAATTATTGGTTACATCCCGCCTTTTTTTGTATAATTTTGTTTGCATTTGCATGTGTCAGAAGAAGACAAATTGCTCTCTGAGTCTGATAGTGACTTATTAAAGTCTTCTTGATCCTTGCGTTGACTGACTTCGGAGTTTAGGAACTTCAGAGAAAGTTGACCTCGACTAGAGTATGAGTCTTTAGAGTATGACATTTTTTAGAGTCAAATCTTCAGAAGTTGATCTCCTTTAGAGTCTAGTTCTCAGGTTCTAATCCTTCAGATTCTGGATCTTTTAGCTTATCTTTAAATGTTCATTTCAATACCAATACTAAGTTAATATAATTTTTTTTAATCTATGATCTTGTACACTTGAACATTTATTAGTATACCTAATTGTTCTTTAAATACTTTGTTATCATCAAAATCTTAGAGATATGGTACAAATCAATTTTGTTCTAACACAACGATGGCAAGCTGTCAGAGCAACAGTTTAGTGACAGCAAATTTTTGTGGCTTATAGTTTTTATTTTTTTATAATTAGAGTTTGGTTTTGAGTGCATGAAAGTGTAAACAAAAATAGAGAAGAGTTGGATCGATACAAAATTTGAACTTAATAATAGACTAAATAAAAAAATTAAATATGTATTTATATCATTGATTTGATTCATTAGTTTGATGCATGATTCCAAAAAATTAAAACTGATAACCATACAAGACCACCTCAATTATATTGATTTGGTTCGGTTTTTAAACCGAACAAAAAATTATCAGTTTTTTGTTTAGTTTGATTTAGATTATCAGTTTAATTGATTTTTTCTGATTCGCTTACACCCATACCAATGTAATTGATTTTAAACCATATATATTTGTCTTTACCAATTTATATTATTTTATTTATACTATATTTTAATAACCACTTTTCAATTGAATTTGGTTTGGTTCAAAAATAATAATATTTAATGTTAAGTTCTCCATTTTTAAAATTGCTTGAACAAGCTTCATTCCTTTAATTTAAAAGATCAATATTGCCACGTCATCACACTCTAATAGTTAAAATATAAGTAACAGAATTTAAAGATTAAAGAATCACTAAATCCCTACAATTAAAGATGAAAGGTTGTTTGCCTTTTTCCATGTCATGTAAGTTATTCTTGTTGTGTTGTATTTGTCTTTTCCCTTATTTGTTAGAATCTGAATATATATTAACGTATTCAATATAAAAAAATAGTGTAAGAAATGTGTTTGATAAAATGCCACGAAAAACTTTAATTTTGTAATAAATTTAAAGACAAAAAAACTAATCCATAAAAGTTGAGTTCCAAATGAAATATACAATCCCGTTGCCATATCCATATGACATCCACATACGCCACATAGTCTCCCTTGTTGATTTTAACTAATATATTAGATAAAAAGAACAAACTTGTTATGTTTTTAAAAAATTAAAGAATGAAAACGGTTTTTTATTTTAAATAAGGGATCAAAGTGAATTCCAAATAAAAAATAAGGTAAAAAAAGGATATTTAATCTAGATTTAACTATATAAGATTTGTTTTAAATTATTATATGTTCACAATTCTGCATTGTAAGAGTATGAAATCAATTTTCAAATATCACAAGTTGACAATTGTATTTATACACTTTGTGAAACCTTAATTCTTCTATAAATATAAAATTGAAATAAAAATTAATTTAAATTAACATTTTAGCATAAAAAAATTAATTCAATAATAATATATCAAAGATATTTATATTAATAAATTTAAAGAATTAAATATGTTTAAGGTTTATTTTCACTTAAAAATCTGAGTAATGAAAGCTGGTGTGAAGTCTATGTAGATATTTTTATTATATTTTGTCAGTTATTGGAGTTGTCAGGTGGGTTTAATGTTTATTACTTCATTTTCTTTAAATGGTCTATAAAAATACAACCAAGTATGATGTTGTGCTCTAGTTATATTCTTGTTCTTCTCTTCTTCCCCATTAGTGTCTGCTAAAAACGCCGCTGATGAAACAATATTATCTTCAAAAACAATGTACCACCCATGTCATCCTCACCGCTGATGAAACAATATTATCTTCAAAAACAATGTCATCCTCATCTAACCGTCACCGATGAAACAATGTTATCTTCAAATACAAACTCAAACAGTGTACCACCCATGTCATGTCATCCATAAAATGTCGTGGACATTTGTGTGATTGTATAAGTCAGATTATATCATATCAGTGCAAGAAGATACCCAATAAAGGTATACTTTTCTGAAGATGTCCATTTTAAAAGAGTGATGACATTTGTGATTTCTTCCTATAAGATAAAGACATAGTAGTAAAATCTAAAAACAAATATAACCACGACATTAATGAAATTATGGGTTATTTGAAGGAGTTGTGTCAATGCAAACAGGAAAAACAAGAGTTTGAAGAGCAAATTGAAATCAGAGAAATCTTTTTAAAAAATAAAATGTTACTTAGTGTAGTGTCTTTTATGTTTAATTTGTATTTTCTGTTCAAGAGACATTTGTGTATTGTACAATATACTTTCAAGTTTCAATGTATTGCCAATGTTTTGATAATGAAATTAAATTAAGGTTGGCACAAATGTTGTCTTCACTATGAAATGATGGCCTAATGTCCAATTATTTGATATGTAACAAAAATAAATAAATTAAAAATTATTTAAATCACACACTTAATATTTAACTTACTCTAAAAGTAGTTTTTTTTTAATGTTTTATTAATTATAACCTTTAAATAGAATATAATCTAATAGTTAAATTAACATTCTCCTGAATTAGCCATTCAATTAAATCTAATTTAAAAACTACGATTTATAATAAACTAAAAAAAAAACTTAGAACAAATGATTAAATTATGTGGTATTGCAAATTGGTTCTTGTGCCATGTTTGGTGCACATAATATAAAAGATCCATTGAAGATTTTTTTTTAATTAAAAAAAGCTAAGCTTTAGTGTGCACCATTGTTTTCTCGCTTCAAAAAACATTTCTATATAATGACAACAGCAACTTAGCAAGTTTTAGTGTGCACTAGTTTTATGTCTCTGAGCAATGTGGCCTTCACACTTTGTAATATATTCAAAAGTTTATAGGTTGGAAAAGTTTTTATCTTTGGTTATCAAAAATAAATCATCATAATTGTGAATAGACATAAAATGAAAGAGAAAGAGAAGAGCCGAAAAAAATAAAATACCACAACTGCATCATGGCTGGGGAAGAAGATTGGTGGTGGGTGACTATTGAAACACAACTCCAATTGGGAAGGGATCTTTGAGGTGATTAAGCCTAACAATAATGATTCCTACTATGTGATCAACAGGTTGTCGGTTGGGGTGAGAAAACGGGCTGCCGCCCATGCCCAAAAAGAGGACGGGGCGGTCGGTCATAAAAAGGCCTTGCTGCCAAAACACAGATGACATGCAATATGTGCCATGTAATGAAAGTTTTTTTAGCATTATCTTCAAAATTCAAAATTTTAGAGAAAGGACTCCTCATTCTATGTTATAAAAAACACAGCATTATGCACAACTAAAATAATCCCCCATCCATCAGAAAAGAAGTATTAAAATACTCAGGAACATGAGCTATATATAGCCAACTGTAAGGATTATCCTAGGGAGCACCTGTCTACTACATGTCATCTCAATCTAAACTGGCTGATATTGATTTGATATTCAAAATATCACAGCTTGAAGTTAGCTTCAAAATTACAGCTCCCTAATTTTCCCAGAAAGAGTATTAAGTATCTTAAAAGGGAAAAAGTCACTTACATTAGTTCCAAAAGCTGGTTTACCATGAACATCTTCCCCAAGTGAAATAGGGCAACTCCAAAATCATAATCATGGCATGACCAATATATACAAATCTGCAAGTGACCACAGCTACCGAACTTAAGTTTCCAATGATGTAAATAAACAGCAAAATGAAGTTTTGTGCCATCAAGCCAAATGGGTATATGTTTCATTGATATAAGGCATATCTAAATCAAAATACACAAACAATAGCTACAGAATCAAGTACCTGATTTAGATGTTCAATAAACTCAGGTGATTACAAACCAATAATAAGGAACAACAAATGTGTTTACAGTATCTCAACAGCTTAGCTTCCAAGTCAGCTAGTTGGCCATCAAAATCACAAGTTCAATCAGATGAACCTCGTTAACATTTAATAAGACAGACCAAATCTGAAACCAAATTGCATGTAACTGGAGCAAAGCCTTTCCTCACTAGGTAGTACAGATGTGAAGATAAAACAACAGCCATTCTTTGACAAAACATAGTTTTATGAAACTAAATGTACAAACAAAATTATAAAACAAAAATACAAAAGTTAGTTAAGAGTAACATACTGCTCCCAGACTATACCATTGTTTTCCATCTTTAAATTAAGGTCAAACTCAAGAATCCAAGAGGCCAGAAGTAGCTTTAGGTCAAAAAAGGAAAGGAGAAAAAAGGTCCAAGTACAAGGAACACAGTTGAATTTATCAGTGCCCACGCTGGAAAAGTATAGTAGCACATTTACAAAATACCTTCAATAAACAAACCTAATCTGAGTAAATATCTTGACATTGTAATCATTATTCAAACCCCTACAAACTTCCTATCGACTCACCCAGGTGGACAAAAAATTATCTAAAGTTGCACACGAGCATTTTGATACATTTGACATACACTGCATAGATATTGCATTATATGATAAGTGATTATAGCCATAATAAGAGGTTACGCATACATCAACGCTGAAGGGCTTTGTTCAGTAAACTTGTCAGAGAGGATCACCAGTTCCAAAACTAGCAGATGTAAGACAAGGCGGTGTGACATGAAAAGTCAAAATTATGTCAGCTGAATCTCAGAAGGCTTGACGGCTCATCAAACAGTTCTTCCATAACAAATAGATGCAATATAGAGGTTCTTTGACCATTTTTCCTGCACAAACAACATATAAAAAATAAGTATTCATGATCAGACAAGACAATGTACACAGCACAATCAACTGCAGTGTTTACCTTGACATGAGTACTAGGAAAGTCAGATGTACGGAGTGTTTCTTGAGTTTCATCAGCCAGTTTTTTTCTTGGAATACTAAGAACAAAAGCAGCCTGGTCATATGTAGCAGCAGTTGAAGTGATGCGGTAACCGTTGTCCCATCTTCGATGAATGCCTTCACTAGGATACAAGAAATCAAGCTCCACAACCTGGAATGAATTTTAGAAAAACATCAAATATTAAGCATGAAATTATAAAATTAATTCAATTTATTTAAATAAAATATTAGAACCTGATCTGAGAATCCAGCACCACGCGACATAACAATTGCCCATCTACTTCCAGAAGTGGCCATAGCAGTGACAAAAAATCCTTCTTTCCATTTTTTATTAATCCACTTGAATGGAAATGATTCACTGACCTTGTAAGATTGCTGCAAGTATTGGGTCCCTGAAACCAATAAATCAACAATAGAAGTGAGAGACAGTCACACAGGAATTAAACTCAAAACTACAAGCCAAAATATGCAAAAATATCCTAAAACAATCTAGTCAATTATTGCCACCAAAATCCAATGCCTGAAGAATAGAGCATTAAGGAGTCACCTTTCGACATTACAACCAACGAGCTCCCACTATTAGATCCTGCTATGGCACTAATGTAATAATTTTTTTCCCACTGTTCCATAATCCATTCCTATAAAAACAGAAGTGGTTATATTAGTTCTTCCACATGCATTAAGTTCCAATACAATTGTAAATACATCATATCAAATGTTAAGTATAAACATAATATTATAAACATCAAAGACATAATACCACATATTACTAAATCTTAAACAAAAACAAAACACAACCTTGTGAAGAAAGTGGGATGAGAGTTCATAAACTTGTGCAGTGAAACCAGTGCCAGCATCCATAATCAGTGCCCAAAGGTTAGAACAGCAAGCTACACTGCTGATGAACAGCCCATCTTCATACCCCTTCTCAATGTGTTGGGACAACCGCATATCAGTAACATTGTAATGGTACCTAGAGAAAAAAAAAAAAACTTAATATGTGATCATTTTAACATTGGCTATAAAGACTTAATTAACTTCAGAAGAAAACCTTTGCTTCATAGGTCGGCGTGCACTGTACACACTAATCCATTGGGTTGCTGGCATTCCTATTCTAACTTTCTTCTTTGGATGCTCATCATCATCTTCTTCCATGGTCAATCGGCCTCTCTTATGTCCAACCTGATATATTAGCTTAACAACATAAACCACACAAAAATTAGTAACAAGACTCAGCCCTTGTCTGTAAACTGCAAATATTGAATTATTTAGTACCTTCTGTGCACCATCGGTGTTTATGGGTCTAATGTCGGGATTTGGACCAACAATTCCATCGAAAAGTGATATGTACTTGGCATAATTTGGTTCTTCGTCAAACTTCAAATTCACTACGTACTCAATAAACTGCCGAAAAGGTGCAGGACAAAGGATACACATATTTTCTGGTGAGGTGGCCATTTTCTTCTTGCAGACAAGAAATCCTTTATTTTCTCCCTGCAGCTAACAATTTTATTAGAATATAATATTTTTATTTACTATTATAACTAAAGTGCCTACATTTAAAACAAAGATAACCTGATATCCTTGCCAAGGTAACCGTCCACGAAGAAGGAAAATTAGTGTGTAAGCAAGAGATTCTAAATCATCCCTTCTGCTACCTGTCCTACCAAGATGAGCATGTACACTAGCATAACGAACCGTTCCCCTATAGCAAGAATATGGCATGCAACATCAAAATAAACCAAAGCCTGGATTTTGATATGTAAGATCATCCTAAATTAGAAATACAAATAAGTTACCTAAATACATCTGGACGTTGATCGTACTCAACATGAAGACCGGTCGAATTATCACGCCAACGGGATGCTGCGTGGTAAAACAGGTCAGATTGCATATATGAATTAAGAGAAAATAGCAATTATTCAATAAAGTGTAAGTATCAACTTCTCTTGGCAAAGTGAAACATTTACCTAATCCAAGATCAACCAGAAAAAGCTTTTTCTCTTCATGAGTTCCCGGACAACCAAGCAAAAAGTTCTCTGGTTTTACATCACCATGCACGTATCTGAAAAAACATAAGCAACACAATGACATTATTCACATCAATCAGAATCATGAGATCAATATTTTCAAACCATTGGTTTCCATCTTTTTTGGTTTTAGACCCTCAGATCCTAAAGTCACATTCCCAACAAATTTGAGTAGAGTTGAGTGGACCTATTTACGAATACAATAAGCTTAATCTAGGTATACATACTAACTATTATGAGTATGCAGAATGCCCCTTCCCAAAACAGCATAGAATAACTGGTTTAGCATGTTGGACTATATCCAATCTGTTCCATAAAAGAAAAGACAGAAATAAATCAAAAGAAGAATCAGGGAAAAGAGAATCACCCTCTAGAATGCATCTTCTCTAATATGGAGATAGCCTCGATTGCTATACATGCCACCATTTCAGCAGACATCCTAAAGCCACAAAATAGAAAATATAGTTACAACAAGCAATATGATATTCAGTCCAACGATAAAAACCAACCCACATTGCACTGCACCATGATTCCAGCACGAGAGATCAACTTACGTGTGTGTCTTGTTATTCCATACATCCCATAAACTAGGGCCAAGAATATCCATGACCTACAAGACAATTCCAGGTTACAAAAAACATCAAGAGATAAACCCCTATCCCTCTATAAAATTTTTTTAAAAAAACACAAGACATACCATAACATAGAAATCACCTTGCCGTCCCTTGTAATGAACTCGTGGGACACCATGACTACCACCTAATACACTACATACAAACAAAAAAACATGAATTTAGCAACATACAATTGTAATAAATCAGCAGAAGACTGAAATAAATAAATAAAAGTCCACACTCACTTGTAAACCAGCCACTCGGAAGGAGGTCCATAATTACACCCTTTACTGCTTTTGTGCTCAAACTTCAGAGCTACCTGCAAATTGTTTATAGCACAAACAATGTGAAAAAATGAAGAATCTCAACTACTCAAACCCCAGCTACTTGCACATACTAAGATCTAGTCTAAGAATACCTTATCAAAAAACAACGCACCAATCATCTCTACTTTATCTACCCTTCATTTATTACCATTCACAAATGAATATACAACGCAGATTCGCATCAATCAGTGTTGTCAAAATTGTCACCATGGCATTACAGAATGGCAGATTCTGTGCCAACCACCATAGGCCACAACACCATAATACTTATATGCCGGATCATGGCATCATCCACCATCTACCATGGACAACACTGACATCAATTTTCAATCATAATTTGAAAGTCCAGTCTAACAGAACATCGACATCGACAAACGATAAACCTTTATTACTGGGACTATTATATAAGTTACCACCATCACACAAAAAAAGACAATAACGGTGTCATACCTCAAGAGCTCCAGCTCCAGCACCAACACGGCGACCTACGAAAACTTGTCCAAACCCTCCTTTCCCAAGCTTTCTATCTACTCTATACAACGGTGAACCACCTACTTGAACCTGTTAAAAAATATAATCAAAACAAAAACCATCATTAAAATTAATAAAAAATATAAATCTCCCAAAACAAATAATAAAAACACCATGCAAAAATTGGTGGTAGCATGAAGAAAAAAATTACTTTTTCAGGAATGGGAGGTGTACTTCCTTCATCTTCAGCTACCGGAGCTTTACCGGGACTCCGACCACCGCTATCACGGTTATCATCCATAATATCCTGCTTAATATCTCTACAAAACCTAAGCGGAGGCACGTGAGGTTCGTTTTCTTCGTTAGAGTTGTTTACAAGGAAACGGTTATCGATTTGATCATCACGTGCGAAAGCGATGTTGCGGTTTCTCGCTGGCCTACCTCTTCTACCACGAGCGGTATCGGGTTTTGTGATCGGGTTAAGATTCGGGTTCGGGTTTGGGTTTTGTTGTTTGGTTCTTCTGGTTCGGAGTTGAGGAGGCATATTAGTGTTTATGGGTTGAATTGTTGGGTTTGGTCCATGGAGATGGAGAAGAGAGAGATGAGTGTTGGTTGATTCATGGAGGTTCTAGAGGATTCTTCGCCGGAGATTATACGATCTGTGGGTGTAGAGAGTGGAAAGGAACCGACGCAAAGAGAGAAAGAGAGAGGATTATTCTGGAGATATCAAACAATTATATCTACCGAGGAATAATCAAATTATGAATTTTGCTTTTCTTTATAGGTTTCTTAATTGATATGAAAAGAAAAAAATTATGAGTTTAATGGCTAAGATCTAAGGTGTAAAATAATTATACTATTATTTAATAAAAGATTATTTTAAAATTTATAGTATGATATGATGGAATAGTAATCGGCATATATTCGAAAAATTACATATATTTATCTATAAAATAATTTTACAAGAGTGATTATCATATCTGTTGTGAATAGGATACCGTTAAACAAAGTATAAACGGTTTCTTATCCATAAACACAAGGATTAGGGTTTCTTATCCATAAACACAAGGATTAAGGTGTTTCTTATCCATAAACACAAGGATTAGGGTTTCTTATAGGGTGTTTCTTATCCATAAACACAAGGATTAGGGTTTCTTATCCATAAACACAAGGATTAGGGTGTTATTAAACTGATATTATTTATTTTCTCTTAGAACAAGATTACAAGTATACAAGAATAACAAAATAACCTCTCTCCCTTGAAATTAGGATTTTATCTTCCTATTTTTCCTTATTCTCAAGATTGAGAAACTAGCATCTTATTTATAATAAAAATAGCACACTAACCTAATGGACTTTTTAACAATTACCCATTACAAGCCAACTTAGGGTACAAGCTAACTTAAACAATTGGGCTTACAAGCAAGGCCCAATTCAACATGCTAACAAACCTAGCAATATTGACTAATGCATGTTAGAACAAACTTCGACTATAACACGCATTACTTGCGAACAGGCTTCGACAACACTAGAGTTCGATCCAACGTCTCACAAATCTCCACCTTGGACCTAACTCTATAACATCAAGAAACTAGCTTTCTTCATGCAGATTTATTAACTGCATACAGTGGAAAAACTTGCAACTGGGCAACGTCTTGGTGATCATATCAGCAGCATTATGATCTGTCGAAACCTTCAGCACTTGGACTTCTCCACGCTCGATTACCCCTCTAATGAAATGCAGCCTCACATCAATGTGCTTGGTTCGCTCATGATAGGTTGAATTCTTCGACATGTGTATTGCACTTTGACTATCACATTTAATAGTGATAACTCGACCTTGAAGTTTTAGCTCATTTGCAAAACCTTCAAGCCACAATGCTTCCTTCACAACTTCAGTTAGGGCAATATACTCCACTTCAGTGGTTGATAGGGAAACGACCTTCTGAAGTGTTGCTTTCCAACTGATGTTGTCCCAAACATAGTGAACACATATCCAGAGATAGATTTTCTGTAATCCATACAACCTGCATAATCAGAGTCGATATATCCATCGATTGCTACTTTACTATCTTCATCCAAGGCTCCACCATAAATTAGGACTCTATTCAGAGACCCATTTATGTACCTTAAAATCCACTTCAATGCTTGCCAGTGAGCCTTTCCAGGATTCGTCATGTACCTGCTTACAAGACTTACTGCATATGTTATGTCGGGTCTAGTATAGACCATAGCATACATCAAAGAACCTACTATGTTAGCATATGGAATGCTATTCATATAAGTTCTTTCAACATCAGTGTTGAGACACTGATCTATACTCAGCTTGAATTGAGGGTTGGTCGGAGTCACAACAGGCTTTGAATTCGACATACCAAACTTTTCGAGAATCTTCTGTAGGTATGCCTCTTGAGATAAGCATAATTTCAAATGCTTTCTATCTCTCTGGATGTCAATCCCAAGAATCCTGGACGCAGCTCCCAGATCCTTCATTTCGAACTCTTTATTGAGTTCAGCCTTCACCCTCATTACCTCTTCGATATTGTTGCTTGCTATTAGAATATCATCCACATAGAGCAACAAAATAACAAATGAATTACCCGGTCGAAATTTGAAGTAAACACAGTGGTCGAACTGGCTTCTGATGAAACTTATGTGTGCCATGAACTTGTCGAATCTCCTATTCCACTGTCGAGGAGATTGTTTCAGTCCATATAAAGATCTATTCAGTTTGCACACATAATCTTTCTTCCCCCTTTTGACATACCCTTTAGGTTGCCTCATCAGGATTGTTTCATCTAGATTACCATACAAGAACGCAGTCTTCACATCCATTTGTTCCAGTTCAAGGTCGAACTGGGCCACCATGGCAAGCAACATTCGAATGGATTTGTACTTCACAACAGGAGAGAACACATCATTGAAGTCGATACCTTCTTTTTGAGTGAACCCCCTAGCAATCAATCTTGCCTTGTATCTCTTCAACGTCACTCCTTCGATTCCTTCCTTAACTTTGAAAATCCATTTACAGCTGACTAACCTGGCTCCAGCAGGTTTCTTGATCAGTTCTCAGGTGTTGTTATCATGAAGAGATTTCATCCCATTATCCATGGCCTTCAGCCATTCAGTCTTCTTTTGACTCCTCATAACTTCCTTATAGTCTCTAGGTTCTTCATCTAGAACCTCACTAGCAGAGATTAAGGCATAAGTTATAAGATCTGCATACCCAAGTCTCTGAGGTGGCTTGATGACTCTCCTCGACCTGTCTCTTGCTAGCAGGTAGTCATTATCAATCTCCTCATCTTCGACAGCATCTTCTGCGTCTTCTTCGACTTCATCTGGGGTAAGCAATTCAGCATCAACATGCTCCACCTCAACAGGAATCTCTCCCTGTTCCAGCTTTTCGTCAGCATCATCAGTTTTCTTGAAAGCCATCTCTGCTTCATTGAAAACTACATCTCGACCGGTGATACACCTTCTGTGACCTGGCTCTAGGCACCATAGCCTATAAGCTTTGACTCCTTCAGGGTATCCCATGAACATGCACTTCAGAGCTCTAGGTTCGACCTTGTCTTGCCTAATATGAGCGTAGGCCACACAGTCAAATACTCTCAGTCTGTCGAGACTAGGTGGATGTCCCGACCAAACTTCTTCAGGTGTCTTCATTCCCAAGGCAGTAGAGGGACATCTATTTATCAGGTAAGTTGTTGTCGAAACAGTTTCCGCCCAAAACACATTCTTCAATCCAACACTAACCAACATGCATCTAACCCTTTCAAGGATTGTTCGATTGAATCTCTCAGCTAAGCCATTTTGTTTAGGAGTACCTGCTACAGTCTTATGTTTTGCAATCCCAGACCCAACACAGTAACTGTCGAAAGCTTCGTTGCAGAATTCAAGGCCATTGTCGATTCTCAACCTCTTAACCTTTTTGCCAGTCTGAGTTTCAACTAGAATCTTCCAACTTTTGAAATTATTAAAAGTTTCATCCTTCGTCTTCTGAATGAATACCCATAGCTTTCTGGAATAATCATCAACGATGGATAGAAAATACCTTACACCTGAGTGTGAAGGATTCCTTGCAGGCCCCCAAAGATCAGCATGAATGTAATCCAGGGATCCATGTTTTCTTTGATTGCCTTTGTTAAACTTCGCCCTACAGGATTTACCAAATACACAAGATTCACAAAATTCCAACTTTTCGACTTTGTCACCTCCTAGTAGGTTCTGCTTCCCCAATTCGACCAGGCCTCTTTCGCTGACATGGCCCAATCTCATGTGCCATAATTCTGTCTTCGACATAGATTTCATGGATGCAACATTTGTCGAGCCACTTACAACCTCAGCCTCAAGGATATATAAGCCTTGTTTCTTCACACCTCTCAAGGCTTCCTTCGACCCCTTCATGACTCTTAGGATACTTTTCTCTCCTTGAAAAACATATCCTTTTCTGTCGAATTCACCAAGAGAAATCAAATTTCTCTTCAAGTCAGGTACGTACCTGACTTCAGTCAATAACCTTATTGACTCATCATGGAGCTTGAATCTCACAGATCCAATACCTGCAATTTTGCAAGATTTGTTGTTTCCTAGCAGCACATATCCACCATCTTGATCACATAGCTCCTCGAACAATTCTCTGTTTGGAGTCATGTGCCAAGTGCAACCTGAATCCATAATCCACTCTTTCCTCGAGTCGCCACTTGAAACCACAAGAACATCAGATGAGTCGAAGTCATCTTGAACAATGGTTGCATTGCCATTACCTCCATGATCTTTCAGGCGTTCAGGGCACACCTTTCTTATGTGACCCTTCTTCTTACAGTGATAACATCGAATACTAGATGTTTCGCCACTATAAGACTTCTGTTGACTTTTACCTTTCTTCTTGTCGAACTTACCATCCTTTCGCAAGAATCTTCCCTTACCGGCCAAACCTTCGCCCACCGTCGAAGGTTTATGCTCCTTTCATTCGTTCAAGTCCTTAGAATACAAGGCTGATTAAACTTCTTCAAAGGTCAGGGACTCCCTTCCATACAAGAGAGTTTCTTTGAAGTGAGCATGTGTTTTGGGCAAAGCACACAGCAGCAACAGTGCTTGATCTTCATCATCGATCTTCACATCAATATTTTCAAGATCAAGAATAAGCTTATTGAACATATCCAACTGCTCAGCCAACACTTTGTCTTCACTCATCTTGAATGAATATAAAGCTTGCTTCAGGTATAGTCGATTCACCAGAGATTTGGTCATGTACAAAATTTCAAGTTTCACCCGTAATCCCGATGCTGTAGTCTCCTTTGATACCTGTCGAAGAACCTTATCACCGAGGCTCAACAATATTGCGCTGTGGGCTTTCTCGATCATGCCCTTCTTTTCTTTTGTCGTTAACGCAACGTCCATGGCTGCCTCACCCTTCAATGCTTCCAAACAACCCTGTTGAACCAATAGGGTTTTCATCTTCAAGCGCCACAGACCGAATTCGTTCACTTCGGTGAACTTTTCAATCTCATACTTTGTTGAAGGCATCTTCTCCATGCTCAC